CATTGTTTGTTCAATGATGTGTAACACTAATACCCTATAATGGCACGTGGGTTTCTTAATCATGCCCCGCAGGCATTTAAACCAACAGTGAACACAGGTGTTAAACACCTTTGCGTACACAGTGTACGGTAAATCCCTTTATCTGTCAGACAATTAAAATTCTGTTAGAAGCCAATCTGTGTATACCGGTAAATAATTAATTAATATTTAAAAAAAAAAAAAAAACAGTAATGACTTCTTTTTTTTTTAATTAAATTTAGGAATTGAATTGATTATTTCACTCGTTTTACATTTAAATAAACATAAGACAATAAAAAATATTTGATATACTATTTCAATTTATCGCTACTAATAAATGGTAAGAACACAACAGTTGTGATCGTGAAAATTTTCCGTATTTTAAATTTGGATACGGTTGCGGTTTTACTTTTAGTACAAAATCGCGACTTCCTAACTTCACAAGATGGATACCGCATGATGTTAATAGATAATACGTTGAGGAATTATTTAATATAGATATAGCAACGTTGTTTTCCTTTGTCATCAACAGATAATTAATGTAACTTATTTTGTAAGAAAGCTATAGAATAAATATTTTATTGTTTACTGGAGCATTAATTTTTTTGCGAAAATAATCAAAAAAGTTACGAAAGTGGCACAGATTTGCTTTGAAATTGGCGTAAATTTTACTGATTTGGGGGCATTTTTCGTAAACTTGAGCCTTAAATAGGTCGAATTCTGAATATTGGTCGACCCCAGCGGTTCTGAGAAAAAAAGTATCGACCTATATTCCCGAAATTACGGTACTTTATTTACAACTTTAGACCTTACATCTGGTTATCACCATGTCAAAGTCAAAGAACAAGATATTCCAAAGACTGCATTTGTCACCAAATATGGGCATTTTGAATATGTAACTATGCCTTTTGGTTTGACAAACGCCCCAGCTACATTTCAGCGAGTCATGGAATTGGCCTTTAATGGACTTCAATGGGAAACTTGTTTAATATATTTGGACGATGTCATTATCTTTAGTAAAACTTTTGACCAGCATGTCGATCGAGTTAAACAAGTATTACAGAGACTTAGAGAGGCAAAACTGAAACTTAAACCAGAGAAGTGTGAATTTTTCCAACCTGAAGTAAAATTTCTTGGTCACAAAGTGAACGCAAAGGGGATATTACCAGACATGCAGAATGTTGAAAAAATTATTAATTGGTTAACCCCGAAAAATGTTACAGAGGTACGACAGTTTCTGGGAATGGCATCCTATTACAGGAGATTTATTAGGGACTTTTCTATGATTGCCAAGCCAATTACCAATTTGACAAGAAAGAATGAAGTTTTTCAATGGACCTCAGAGTGTGAAGAATCTTTCAAGAAACTTAAAATAATTTTAACAGGGCCAGAAATTATGGGATACCCTGATCCTAATCATGGACAATTCATTTTAGACACAGACGCCTGTGACGTGGGAATAGGAGCAGTACTTAGCCAATATCAAGATGGTCGTGAGCGAGTTATAGCCTATGCCAGCAGAACACTTAACAAAGCAGAGAGAAACTACTGTGTAACAGATAAAGAACTTTTAGCTGTGAAGTATTTCGTAGAATATTTTCGACAATATTTACTTGGTCATTCATTTTTAGTCAGGTCTGACCACCAGGCTTTGGTGTGGCTTTTCAAACTAAAAGAACCAAAGGGCCGAGTTGCTCGATGGATAGAAATCCTTTCTGCTTATAATTTTGAAGTCGAATACAGACAAGGAACAAAACATGGAAATGCTGATAGTTTATCCAGATGTCCTAACCCAAGAGACTGCACTTGTTCTTCATCAGAAAATATGGACACACTCAAATGTGGACCTTGTAAGAAGTGCCGACTGAGAGCAGAAAATTTAATTCCCATACCTTTGTCTCCTGAACAATCAGATGTGGTCGCAAGGAAGGTCACTACCAGACAAAAGAATAAGGAATCTGCATTATCTGACTGTACTGTCTGGCATAGTCAATATTCCTCTGCAGCACTGCAAACCGCTCAAATTAAAGACCCTGATATTTCTCCAGTTCTACAATGGAAAATAAAGAATGAAAGGCCTAAGAAAGAAGAAGCAATTTCCTTCTCAACTACTACAAGACATTATCTGAGTTTATGGGACCAATTAGTTGTCAAGAATGATGTTTTGTACAAATGTAGTACTACAACACTTGGTGAAACCATAGAACAGTTTATAGTTCCCAAATGCATGAAGAAAGAAATTCTCGACATGTGTCATTGCTCACTTTTGTCTGGACATTTGGGCATTAAGAAGACTAAATTCAGAATCACTAGGCATTTTTACTGGTTTGAATTAAGAGAGGAGGTCCGGATATTTGTAAAATCTTGTGAAAACTGCTCTATGAACAAACCTCCAGTACAAAAACCTAAGGCTCTTCTTGGAACGATGTCATATGGTGCTCCATGGGAATGTCTTGCCACTGATTTTATTGGCCCATTACCTGTTACAAAAAGAGGAAATCGTTACATACTTGTAATAATGGATTATTTTACTAAATGGGCAGAAGCGTTTCCTGTTCCTGACCAAACAGCTGCTGTAACAGCGAAGGTTCTACTAAACGAGATCATCACTAGATATGGATGTCCTCTGATTATTCACTCAGACCAAGGTCGTAATTATGAATCATGTATATTCAAAGAGTTGTGCTCTTTGTTGCATATCAAGAAAACTAGAACAACGGCACGTAATCCGAAATGTAATGGGATGGTCGAAAGATTCAATCGTACTCTTATTCGAATGATTAAAGCTTTCATAGTAGATGACCATGAAGAATGGGATCTTTATCTCAACTGCCTTACATCAGCCTATCGATCAACCTGTCATGAATCAACGGGACTTACCCCTAACTTACTGATGTTTGGTCGAGAGATCCAAATGCCATACGAGGCAACACATCACTCTTTAGCTTCCAGTGGAGAAGAAATTTCGTCTTATGGAGATTTTGTTGAAGAAATACGATCCAAACTTTACCATGCCCATGAAGTTGCCAGGAAACATCTGTACCAATCTACAAAACGACAAAGAGATATCTATAATTCGAAAGTGCTGGTTCATAAATATGCAGCTGGAGACATTGTATGGTTACTCAATGAAAAAGTCAAAGAGGGAGAATGTCCGAAGTTGAGAAAAGCTTACATAGGACCTTTTGTTGTACTTAACGAGGCCCGATCTAGTTGAAAATTACGAAAACGGAATGATAAAAAATTTTAATTCTTGGAAATATACTTGTATGTTTTATGCTTAGAAAAATTAGAATGAAATTTTGTTACCTTGCCTTTATTGTAGTGAAATGGGGGCACTGTCAAGATATGGACCATTTTTCGTGTGTTTATACACAATTATATACTAAAACTATTCAATAAACAAAGAAATTTACAAATTAAAAAAAAATACATGATGAAATTCTTTGTTTTTCACATATATCATGCAATTTTCATTCTTCTTATAAAAAATGAAAAGAAAATTGGAGGTAGCCTTTATTGCAGTGAAAAGTGGGCATGTCAAAACACAAAATTTGGATTTTTTCTATCCAACTTCGTATTTTATAGGTCGCAATGGGTTTACATAACGCCAACAAACGATTACAATAATGTAATAGTTTCTAATAAAAATAATTCTTACATTATGAAATAATTTTCTCGCCATGCTTTATTTTTCTCTTAACACGCGACGTTTTTTTACGTGGAAAAAAAGGGGTAGAGGGAGGAGGGAAGGTGGGGGGGGGGGGGGGGTAAGGGCGACAAAATTGCAATTTTTACTAATATCATGTAATATATAGAAAAATAAAATATTTTGGCGGTTCAATTTAAATGATTTATAGACTTATTTTATTTTTTAAAACTGAAGATTCATGCATATATAAGTCCACAATAAAAAGAGTGTGCATAAACACTTCAACATGTTCGAACAGAAAGACTAAAATCGTTTACTTTTAGTTGCAGTGTTTGTTTTTTAAACTCACAAATTGAAATAAAACAGAATAAAATTAATGAATCTGTACCAAAAAATTAATCCCTCAAAATTAATTAGGTTCCAAGGTTGTTTATTAATTTGAATATTTAAAAAAAAATTAATAGAAATGCCAGCTTTCAATGCATATTCTATAGAGCTACCAGTAAGCAAGATCAGCGAAACATTTTAGCGCAATTTGACGTCATTTTAACTGTGACGTTATTGTGTTCAATTGTGACGGCAGTCAAGGGTATTGTGACGTGCCTGAGTCGACGCTGCGTTAAAACATATGCGCAGATCAAGTAGATCGGGCCTCGTTAAAGTTTTAAGTGACCTTGTGTTTGAAATTCAATTTGATGCTCGTGGCGAGTGTAAAATTGTCAATCATAACAAGCTACTGCCATACATTGGAAGTACACCACCAAAGTGGGCACTGAGGCTGTCAGAGAATTTGAAAAACAAAACACGTCTACAGTAAAATAATACTGTCCAGTTATAGTTATGATGCATACTGTATGAATAAAGTTTTTAAAAGAATTAAAGGATTTGTTATCCTTTCAAAATATATGTGTCATAGTGAGTTAGACAACAAATCATGACCAATGTTACTACTTTACAAAAATGGGGATGGAAGGGTGGATATTATTGATAATGCTATTGTACATGTGTGATGATTATACATGTTTAAAAATGTTTTACATGAAAGTTTACATGTTTTACATTCAGTATTACTGTACTTATATTGTGCAGTTATTTTTTTTACAGATTTCCAAGATGTCTGAGATTGTTTCAGCCGGAAAGAGAGGGAGAGTGTGGGAGTGTTGCTTGTGCAACTTTAGAGGAGAGCGCCACTACCTATTATGACATATGTATTCTAAGCATCTTACTTTTGATGAATGGCCTTACAGATGCCCTGTATGTGGATACAGCCATTATGACTATAACAATTTTGAGAAGCATCCACCTTGGTCCTGGAGAAGGTGAGAGGCCCCAGACTGTGCGTAGAAGGAAGTCCCCTCCCCCACCAGCTGTGAAGTCGGTCGTATACCAGCCAGCGCGCCAACGACCACGACCTAGGAGTCCTTCTCACGCCAATAGCCATTCCTCTCCTTTGCAGCATCTTTTCTCCCCTGACAGAAAGAAGACCAGAAGATTTTAAATAGGTAATAACACAGTAGGTAATAGATCAGTAATGTAAAAGTTTTCTTAACTGAGAATTAAAGTAAAATATACCTATTATTTTTTCTGTACATTATTTTTGGCAACATATATATACACAAATAGATTAGTGAACTAGTGCTAATTGTAACGGGGACCGTTACAGATTTTCCCCAAACGCTCCCCATGTCCCTTATCGTGCCTTATTCCTCTAAGACCTTTTATAAATATGCTAAGTATCCCAAGATTTCATTTAAGAATATAAAAGTTACAATGATATCAACTATCAACGATATATTGTTTAACGTTTTGCATGCGCGCACACGTACATGTACATGCATATGCAAGATGATTATGGCATGTTGATTAAGCGATTAACATATCTTTCTATCCCGCGAATCAAAGAAAAAAATACATATATAAATTTACCATTTTTCAAGCATATGTCATATTTTTAATATATCGATTCACATTTTATTTCTCTACTTATTTTAACCTCGGGCTCAAAGTTGGTTTTATTCCGACGACAAGGCAGGGTTAAAGTCGACTAAGGGTATCACGCCAATACCTAACCAATCAAAATGAACTTATTCAATAGAAGTTCCATACATGGAAAAGGGATTTTCCTTTCTGTTCAGAATTTTTTTTAATATTTCCTCCCAGGCCATTTCGACAACTCTGATACCTGTGCCTGGTAAATTTTATATACTTTGTAAATAAATATATAAAGGTTTTTTGACCGGAACTATTCATTTTTTCCAATGCATAGGGGGCTACTCTCTGGGTTTTACAAGAAATGTTTAAAAAGACATTCGTGTCAGCTAATGTGACCTATATTGTTTAACACCTTCTTATTAATATTTTTTTCATGAATGCAAATATCTGATTATTTTACGAAGGAGCGTACATGTATATTGATTTTTTAATATACCGAAAATCGCTATTTCTGGGGATTGCGTAATTCTAAAAAAAAAATTCAAATAAATTTCAAAGGTAAATTAAACTAGTGCTAATTGTAACGGGGACCGTTACAGATGTTCCCCAAACGCTCCCCAACTCCCTTTTGGTGTCATATTCCCTGTAATCTCTATTAAATAAGAAATACTTAATGGAATTTAAACTTATCAAGGTCTTCCCAGAAGAATACAAAATATATTTAAATTTAAGCATTGTATGCGTGTTCATGTGCGTAACGACAATATTATCTTGTCTACACTATCTATATATTTTAATATACTTGATATCAAAGATGTTATCCAAAAGTATTAAAAAATACTCTCATTCAAGTGTATTTTTAATTTTACTCATTTCACGTGCACGCACGTGCAAGCAAGTGCATGATGAATACACCTTCTTGTAGGAGTCCCTTATATTTATCTATGTTCTAAATCCCATCCTGTTTGCTTAAAAAACAAGGGAGTTATAGCCATTTGAAGTTTCAGCCAATCAGATTGCAGCACACATGCATGCGCATGATTTCATGATTTTTTTTTATCTTAATCGTATTGAAGGATATCTTAATGAATGACTATATTTAAAATTCCAAACATTTCGTCAAAAAACAAAATAAATAGAGCCATTTAAAGTTTCAGCCAATCAAATTGCAGCACACGTGCATGCGCGTGATTTCATGATTTTCTTTCTATATCGTATTGTAGGATATCCTACTGCATGACTATGTTTTAAATTTCAAAGCATTTCGTCAAAAAACAAAGGAGATATAGCCATTTAAATTTTCAGCCAATCAGATTGCAGCACGCACGCATGCGCATGCTTTCATGAAAATTTTTATATATCATGCTGTAGATCTTCATAATTTAAGACTTTGTTCAAAATTTCAAAAGATTATGACAAGAAACATGAAAAATATTGAGACTTTAGTTTCAGCCAATCAGAGCGAAGCGCACGTGCATGCGCGTGAGATCTTGCTATTTTGTCCATGTCATCATGTCTATACTACTAATATATCCTTATATTATGAGTTTCAAAGCATTTCATCAAGAAATAGAAAAGTTGCGGCTATATCTATTATATTAGTCATTTCACGTGTTGCACGTGCGCGCTCTTGCAAGCACGTGCGCGAGGAACATGTCATTATGCATATACAACTAATATATACTTATATTATGAGTTTCAAAGCATATAGTCAAAAATAGAAAAGTTACGGCTATATCTATTATACTGGTCATTTCACGTGTTGCACGTGCACGCTCTTGCAAGCACGTGCGCGGAAAATGACCTTGATTCCGCAAATCTACATAACATGTCTACTTACCCTAAAAAGGTTTTACCTACTTCGGACGAACAGTTTACAAGATCACTCGCGGACAAAAAAGTACCCAGGAAGAAGAAGAAAAACTAGTGCTAATTGTAACGGGGACCGTTACAGATGTTCCCCAAACGCTCCCCAACTCCTTTTTGGTGCCATATTCCCTGTAAGCTTCATTAAATAAGACAAACTCTGTGCATTTTGACTTTAACAACGTTTTCTCAGAAGGTTACCAATTATATTCAAATTTTAGCATTGCACCCGTGCGCATGTGGATGCATGTGCGTTATGATCATATCATCTTTTCTACACTATCTACATATTTTAATATACAATATATTAAAGCATTCAGTCCAAAAGTATGAAAAATCACTATTTCAAGTGTATTTTTCATTTCACTCGTTCCAAATGCACGCACGTGCGTGCACGTGCATGATGACCATACCTTCTTGAAGGAGTCCCTTATATCTATCTATATTCTAAATCCCATCCTGTTTGGTTGAAAAACAAGGGAGTTATAGCTTTTTCAAGTTTAAGCCAATCAGATTGCAGCACACGTGCATGCTCGTGATTTCATGATTGTTTTCTATATCATATTGTAGGATATCCTAATGCATGATAATGTTTTAAATTTCAAAGCATTTCGTCAAAAGACAAAGTAGATATAGCTATTTAAAGTTTCAGCCAATCAGATTACAGCACGCGGGCATGCGCATGCTTTCATGAAAATTCTTATATATCATGCTGTAGATCTTCATAATGTAGGTCTATGTTCAAAATTCAAAGGATTATGACAAGAAACAAGAAAGATATTGAGGCTTTAGTTTCAGCCATTCAGAGCGAAGCGCACGCGCATGCGCGTGAGATCTTACTTTTTTGACCATGTCATTTTGTCTATGCTTCTAATATATACTTATAAAATGAGTTTCAAAGCATTTCATCAATAATTTAAATAGTTACGTCTGTATCAATTATATTGGACATTTCTCGTGTTGCACGTGCGAGCTCTTGCAAGCACATGTGCATGCACATGCTTTCATGATAAATCTTATATAACAGGCTGTAGATCTCCCTAATGTATGACTATGTTCAAAATTTCAAATGATTTTATCAAAAAACAAAAAAGATATTGAGACTTTAGTTTCAGCCAATCAGAGCGAAGCACACGTGCATGCGCGTGCGATCTTGCTATTTTGACCGTGTCATCTTGTGCATGCTACTAATATATCCTTACATTATAAGTTTCAAAATATTTCGTCACAAAATAGAGAAGTTACGGTTATATCCATTATATATTGGTCATTTTAAGTTTTGCACGTGCGCGCTCTTGCAAGCACGTGCGCGCAAAATGACCTTGATTCCGCAAATCTACATAACATGCCTACTTACCCTAAAAAGGTTTCACCTAAGTCGGATGTGTAATTTACAAGATCACTCGCGGACAAAATTTTCCCAGGAAGAAAAATAATAATAAGAATAAGAATAATAATAATAAGAAACAGAGTAAAAACAATATGTTCCCCAACTTCGTTTGGGGAACATAATAATAATAATAAAAAACAGAGTAAAAACAATATGTTCCCCAACTTCGTTTGGGGAACATAACAAAGGATGCTTGGTATTAAAATATTATTTCAAATCAGTAGAATCGAATGCTATTAACGACATCTGAATAAATAGGCTATAAAAGGCTTATATGCCAACTTTGGTCATCTGCACTTTAATTTTAAACACGACAGGATTTGTAATTTTTTCTGTATAAATTGATAATTTCTATATACTTTGGAAACTCAAATGAAATATTTTAATACACTTTCCTCGAGCTCTTTTCTGCAGTTTTCCTGAAATTTTATGTGGGTCCGAGGTGTTATTTGAGTTTAACAGTGATTCTCTACGTTGCCATTAATTTGATTTGTTTGTGTGTGTGTTGGGGGGGGGATGGGGGGTTATTTTTATTCTTAACCTATTTAACGTTGGAGTTGAATCGTGTATCTTATTCCAAGAACTTAAGATTGATTGTGACATTTGGATGAAAGGTCAAGGTCATTAAAAACCACCACCTCTTCAACTTCTAACCTGTCAACCGAAATAAACTCTGAAAGGTGTTTCTAGATACATGTACATGTACTTCAAGTTTCTTTTTACCCTTGGGTCAAGGACAAAGGTTAAGGTCGATTTCAAGTTCATAGGTCAAGGTGATTTTGGTAAATAGTTAATATCAACATTTTATTCAGGTTACCAGTGACCTTGACCTAAGTTTCAAGGTCAAGGGTAAAAAGATCTGCATGCTTCAGTATGTTACATGTCTTGACATTTAGAAGTTCTTAATTCTGCATGAACATCAAACACTCAAGTATACTGTCTTTTAATACATTGTGTGCGGTCGCATGTGCATGCACGTCCATGTATTTACTTTTGATAGTAGTAGAATGTAGGCAATCATTATATCTATTCATATTTGAAATTTCACCCTGTATTATTGAGAACCAAGAAAGTTTTAGGCATTTAAAGTTTGAGCCAATCAGATTGCAGCACACGTGCATGTGTGTGCGTTCATGATTATTCTTATATATCATGCTGTAGATCTTCATAATGTAAGACTATGTTCAAAATTTCAAAGGATTTTGTCAGAAAACAAAATAGATATTTAGACTTTAAGTTTCAGCCAATCGCAGCGAAGGGCACCTGCATGCGCGTGAGATCTTGCTATTTTGACCATGTCATCATGTCTATACTACTATTATATCCTTATATTATGAGTTTCAAAGCATTTCATCCAATATTTAAAAAGTTACGGCTAAATCTATTATATTGGTCATTTCACGTGTTACACGTGCGCGCACCTGCACGCACGTGCGCGCAAAATGACCTTCGTTCCGCACATCTACATAACATACCTAGTGACCCTAAAAAGGTTTAACCTAGATCGGATGAGTAGTTTACGAGAACACTCGCGGACAAAAAAGTACCGGAGAACAAAGAAAAAATTCAGAAAAAGTAAAAACAATATGTTCCCAAACTTCGTTTGGGGAACATAATAAGGAGACTAATTGTTCAGATTACAATTTTGATTTTAATTCAGATGACAATATGAAGTCTTTTCACCTTCTTGAGTGTTTTCATATCATTTGGCTTCAAGAAAAGAAGTTAAAAGCAAAAAAATTAATAAAACAGCGAAATTCTAATTTTCTACTACCGTGTTTTTAAGATCGGGCTCGGGGTTGGTTATATTCAATAGTAGTTCCATACATGGAAAAGGGATTTTCCTTTCTGTTCAGAATTTTTTTTAATATTTCCTCTCAGGCCATTTCGACAACTCTGATACCTGTGCCTGGTAAATTTTATATACTTTGTAAATAAATATATAAAGGTTTTTTGACCGGAACTATTCATTTTTTCCAATGCATAGGGGGCTACTCTCTGGGTTTTACAAGAAATGTTTAAAAAGACATTCGTGTCAGCTAATGTGACCTATATTGTTTAACACCTTCTTATTAATATTTTTTTCATGAATGCAAATATCTGATTATTTTACGAAGGAGCGTACATGTATATTGATTTTTTAATATACCGAAAATCGCTATTTCTGGGGATTGCGTAATTCTAAAAAAAAATTCAAATAAATTTCAAAGGTAAATTAAACAAAGGATGCTTGGTATTAAAATATTATTTCAAATCAGTAGAATCGAATGCTATTAACGACATCTGAATAAATAGGCTATAAAAGGCTTATATGCCAACTTTGGTCATCTGCACTTTAATTTTAAACACGACAGGATTTGTAATTTTTTCTGTATAAATTGATAATTTCTATATACTTTGGAAACACAAATGAAATATTTTAATACACTTTCCTCGAGCTCTTTTCTGCAGTTTTCCTGAAATTTTATGTGGGTCCGAGGTGTTATTTGAGTTTAACAGTGATTCTCTACGTTGCCATTAATTTGATTTGTTTGTGTGTTGGGGGGGATGGGGGGTTATTTTTATTCTTAACCTATTTAACGTTGGAGTTGAATCGTGTATCTTATTCCAAGAACTTAAGATTGATTGTGACATTTGGATGAAAGGTCAAGGTCATTAAAAACCACCACCTCTTCAACTTCTAACCTGTCAACCGAAATAAACTCTGAAAGGTGTTTCTAGATACATGTACATGTACTTCATGTTTCTTTTTACCCTTGGGTCAAGGACAAAGGTTAAGGTCGATTTCAAGTTCATAGGTCAAGGTGATTTTGGTAAATAGTTAATATCAACATTTTATTCAGGTTACCAGTGACCTTGACCTAAGTTTCAAGGTCAAGGGTAAAAAGATCTGCATGCTTCAGTATGTTACATGTCTTGACATTTAGAAGTTCTTAATTCTGCATGAACATCAAACACTCAAGTATACTGTCTTTTAATACATTGTGTGCGGTCGCATGTGCATGCACGTCCATGTATTTACTTTTGATAGTAGTAGAATGTAGGCAATCATTATATCTATTCATATTTGAAATTTCACCCTGTATTATTGAGAACCAAGAAAGTTTTAGGCATTTAAAGTTTGAGCCAATCAGATTGCAGCACACGTGCATGTGTGTGCGTTCATGATTATTCTTATATATCATGCTGTAGATCTTCATAATGTAAGACTATGTTCAAAATTTCAAAGGATTTTGTCAGAAAACAAAATAGATATTTAGACTTTAAGTTTCAGCCAATCGCAGCGAAGGGCACCTGCATGCGCGTGAGATCTTGCTATTTTGACCATGTCATCATGTCTATACTACTATTATATCCTTATATTATGAGTTTCAAAGCATTTCATCCAATATTTAAAAAGTTACGGCTAAATCTATTATATTGGTCATTTCACGTGTTACACGTGCGCGCACCTGCACGCACGTGCGCGCAAAATGACCTTCGTTCCGCACATCTACATAACATACCTAGTGACCCTAAAAAGGTTTAACCTAGATCGGATGAGTAGTTTACGAGAACACTCGCGGACAAAAAAGTACCGGAGAACAAAGAAAAAATTCAGAAAAAGTAAAAACAATATGTTCCCAAACTTCGTTTGGGGAACATAAAAATGGCATTATTGTACATTCATTAGCATTCTTGAAATGGGTTTGATCCATCAGTTGTTGTTCACTTAATTGGAAGTATGAAATGTTTTTTTTATAAGCATGAAACATTTTACATGAATTCAGAGTATAATGTTGTACATCAGTAAATTTTAATTACAATTGAAATGTTAACTCGACACTCTGTTTGTGTATTCCTGTTTCTTCTTGATATGAGTCTCTTGTAATCTGTTGTTTCTGCAAGAATCATATTGTTGATTGTTGACATTTTGCTTGTTAAATTGCTGACATAAATATTTAAATTTTATGTACATGTATGTGTTTGATACATAAATTTGAAACTGTATGTTATTGGTTGTAAGAGTGCATATGGTGCATGTTGACATGAGAATTTTGTGATGGTTCATGATGTATTACATTAAGAAAAAGAATCTTGATTTTATACATACCAGTTGTATGATTGATAAGCTGAATACCTCATGTGATTTTCTATTGTACATAGATCCGCAGTTGATTCCTCTTCTGTTATTACAGTGACTTGTAATTCCACGGTATTTGCTTTTTAATAATGTTGTTTTATTGTATATGATAGTCCAAAGGGACTTGGACATTTTTTTAAAGAGGGGCAAAATGTAAGAATAGGACTACGATGTATTTATTGATACTTATGCTAGAATGTACTTGTACATTATTTTCTCTTTTGACATCGCCCCCGAAAGTTTGATTGCGCTGTTTGTTTATGTATGCATGTTTTGTTGTTACGAGTATAAAAGATGTGTTGAATAATTTGTGTACTGAGTAAAGATCACTATTATTTATGTATAATTACCTGTAATCCACTATTTATACGTATTTTTGCTTTATTGTTAGGACCACATGTTGTTGATTCTTTTAGTAATGGCCGACTCCCAGAATGCAATGCGGTATTTGTTTACGAAGTTTAACGAGCGCTATTTTTCGATTATAATTTATTGTTAATTTATTGTTAATTCTTGTATAGACATTTAATGATACTAGAAGTAATTAGAGTTAAGAAATAAATGTTATTTCTATTTTTATTATTTTCTCGTAAGTGTGAGAATTTGATGTGGGAACTAGAGCATCCTGTTACGTTTTTCATTGGTTGGTGTAATTTACGCGACGCTTTTCATTGGTCGCGTTTCATGATGTCATTTTACTACGTATAACGACGAGTTGTAGCAGACAACTAGCATTTTGACTGTTTTTGAGTTCTAGAAAGGTGTGTTATTTTAGTTTGTAAATTTTATTACATTTAATTCGGGATTAAGACTTTAGAATATTGGGATGGAGTTGGTCATGGTTTGTTATAAATAAGTAGGTTTATTTACAGCTATTTGCTGAGCTGTTTACCGTGATCTAACGGTCTGAAATTACTACAGTTAATTTACGGATATTTTATCCGTTGTAATTTCAATTACTGGTTCAATTTACCAGTCCCAATATAAGAACAATTACAAAATACGTAGGTTTCAAGCATTTATTTCAAATTTATTATTTTATTTGGAATTATTGTTTTATAGAAATAAAATATGTGTTCAGAATAAACCGTTTATTTGTTAACTTTACAAGACTTGTCTTTATTTCATTTTCGTCCTGAATTTGGAAGTAAAGAGAGAAAAGAATTAATTTTAACTTAATTGTCATACACCAGTGCGCTTATCCGGTGTCGTTACAGTACTCTTTTACCGTCGCCCACAAAGATTTTGAGATATGTGATTTTCTCAAAGCAAATTACATAATACACCCAAAAATTGTAGTGGGCGACGGTGACAGAGACTATTTTCTAAAAGGAAAATAAGCACAAAAATGAGTCTTTCTGAGGCTTTTCAGCAGTAAACTTAGAAATGTATCAAATTAATGATGTCATATTTCCAGAACAGTCTTCCTTCATGCCATATTCTTTAATGATTTATCATAATTATTCATCTACTCAACTCTTGTTAAAGCCAATATCATAACTTTTTAAGAACATTAATTTTTTAGGGCCCAATAAAGCCCAAACTGTACCCTCTTCTTCATAAATCTTAAAGAGGGATCCTTCATCCTCATAACTATGTACATAGTTCATTGGTTTAATACCCAGGTACAGAAAAAAAGATTATTAAAGGGTTTATGCATTTTCACTTCAGAACCAACAGAACCCCCTCCTCACACCAGAACCCAAACCCAGAGGTCATAAAATTCACAATTCTGGAAGAGCAGCCTTATTCAATATAACTATGTACTTGGTCAGTTTCTTTAATACTCAGGAGCAGAAAAGATTTCAAAGAAATAATTCATTTTCACTATATAATCTATATAGCCCCACCCTAGCACTAGAACCCCTCACCCTGGGGCCATGAAATTCACAAGTTTGGAAGAGGCAGTCATTTTTAACTCAACTGTACACTTGGTTAGTTTATTTAATGCCAAGGAGCAGAAAAGAATAATTGCAAAGAAATAAATGCATTTTCCTTATATAACCCATTTAGCCCCGCCCTAGTACTAGAACCCCTGACCCTGGGGCCATGAGTTTCATAATTTTGGTAAAGGACTTAAAGCTGATTACAATCATACCAACAGTTTGACTGCTTGATGTCCAAGAGTAAAGATTTTTAAAGATTGCACTAATTTTAGTGGTTTTGGCCTCTTGCCCAGGTCCCTGGGGGGCAGGGACCATGAAATTCACAATTTTAGTTTCCCTTCACCCATAGATGCTATATGCCAAAATTGGTTGAAATTTGTTCGATGGTTTCAGAGAAGAAGCTGAAAATGTTCAAATGTCAACGCAGGACGCACGACAGACAAAAACGATTAGCAATTGTTTACTGAGTTTACTTAGGTGACCTAAAAGCGAAAATTGTAGTTCTTTAAAATGTAAAGCATTTACCAAGACTGGTAACAACAGGGAAGTATAACATCATTTTTGAAAGGGAGAAGCCAGAGAAAAAAATTAAAAAAAAAACAAAAACGAATTCAGTGTACAAAGTACTGTACAGGATGGTATCATATAATTTTCACTGCAAAAGCTCCAAGATTTCTCATGGAACAAAAGTCCTAAAACAAGAAGATTCAATGACCTTGATGTTTGAACTTTTCACCTCAAAATCAATAGGTCTTCCTTGGGAGATGGGGAGTTGCTGTGTAAAATTTTCCTTATAAAACCTTTAGAGATATCACGTGGAAACGAGAGTGAAATAAAGCAAGATGGACAGACAGATGGCCGAAATTAATACAATGTACTTGATGAAAGCTGGGGACAATTAACATTGCAGGTTTGGTTCCTTTTGACTGCATGTGTATAAATGTCCATTAAGACTAATATCTGATAATGACTTATTCACTCTATAACAGTTACATCAACTTTTATGATTTGTCTGTTGCAAGTATCATTAAATTTGTCACTAATCTAGATCCACTAACAGGTACATAACCCCCCTCCCCCCATCTCTCTTCTTTTTTTTTTGGTCCACCGCTGAAAGAGAGGGATATTAATTAAAGTCTGTCCATCCATCGGGCTAGCTGTCCATCTGTCTATAGTTCTGTCAGTATAACGCTTCTGCTTTAATGTAGTATCTCGAGAAGCCTTGAGTTGCAATGAAATTTTATATGATAACTCCATATGGCCTAAGGAGGATTCAAATTGATTTTGAGGTCAAAATGTAAAAAAGTTCAAGGTCATAAATTTGTGTTTTAACAATTTCGTTTCTGCACGATGTCTCGAGAAGCCTTTGAGGATTTGCAATGATAGTTAATATCACAACTTCCTTTGGATTATTAAGAAGAGCCCTATGTATTATGATGTCAAAAGGTCAAGGTAATAAATTCATACATTGTGTGTGTGTGTGTGTGTGAGTGTGTGTGTGTGTGTGTGTGTGTGTGTAAAACTTTCATTTGGCGATACATGTATTTCAATTTGACATTTTATACCACAACTTCTTATGACCTAGGGAAGACTCCCTATGGCCCCTCCTGCCCTTCTTAAACTGATTCCAAGGTCAGCACATTCTTATTCCCTTTAGCGGGGGATAAATATTCTCTGAATAAGCTTTTCTTTCAATTTTGCTTCAGTTTTTATCATATTTCATGTGAATTTGAAAAAAGGACTTTTCACAAGAATATACAGAGTATACATGTAACTACTCTTAGTATACAAAGTGTTTATTTTGAATCAATGATATTTTTTTTTCAGAAATAAAGCTGCTACTATAGTTATTATTTAAGGAATCAACAATAGTGGATTACATGTGATAATTTGCATGTTTCCCACTATTGTTGATGTCCCTGGCATACTTTACTAACTAGACAGTGATTCCTAATATTTCCATTTCATTGTCAAATAAAATTAAATTGTAGATTTAGACTTTAAAAATGCAGACATAGATTTAAATTACAGGAAGATTCCCATCCTAATTTCAATAGTCCTCGCCCACTGACGTCAAACACAAAGGCAGCCGCACGAGATTTACATGCCTATTTTGCCTCCTTAGCGTCAGACACAGAGACAGATGCGCACGAGATTTGCATGCGTATTAGGCCTCCTTAGCTCCAGACCTATCGACCTGCCTAATTTACATTCCGGCAGAATTATCAAGAAATAAACTTCGACAACTTTCAAAGAGTTATCACAGAGAAAAAAAATTAGAAATGGAAATATTTGAAGATATCTGAATTATAAATGAAATTTTAATTTATTGCATTGTTCACTCCAAATTAATTAAGATCTTCTGGTGATAAAAAAGCTCATGCCAGTTGTGTCTACATTACCGGGTAATTGGCAGTGCATGTACATTCAGTAATGTGATGTACATGTACCAAAACTTCTCCTCTGCTTTTAAGGGCTTGGAACCTTCTGCTTGAAATAACATGCAATTATGTTAATTCAAGCAGGCAGCATTAAAAGTTTCGTGTTTTTTTTTCTTTTTCTCCTTTTAAAATACTTTTTTCATTCAATTTCTCTTTTTTATTTGTTTGTTTTTGCATCTTTGTGTGTGTGTTAAATATTTTGTTTTTGTTTACTTTTTTTTTAACTCTTGCTTTTCATTTTTTTCATTTGTTTTCATTTTTTTTCCACATTCACTTATAATTTTACATAAACAAACCACAGTGTTACACTAAAAATCACAAAATAACATTTTCAAATAATTTTTTACATTTTTTAAAAATACAAATCATGTCATATTAAAAGTTAATTACTTTTACTGCATATTTAGTTACATCATTAATAATACCTTCATTTAAGTGCACAACAAGTAAATAATCAGAATTTACTAATTATACAAGTTATAACTGGTACAGCTGCTGACAGAATTTGTACATTTCAGAAAAATTAATTTAATTAATATTGAATACCGGTAATGATTACATCTAAGTTTCAGAAAACATTGTAATACCAGCATAAAAACCTTTACAGCAAAATCAACAAGAATGAGTGCACTTAAGCTATGAGAGTTGGATCCCGATGTTTTGCGCAAAATCAAATTCCAAAATTCATTAAATTTATGTTTTATAGGTATTAAACAATGTCTTAAGAGCAGGTTTTGGTATATTATATTACATGAAAGTATTAAATAATGCCGAATGACACTAGCTTTTGAGACGGGGTTCTAACAGTTTTGTCTCATTTCTATTGTTATTCATGTGCATTCCAGTTTTCAACGACTTTGTTTACATCGAGCCGCAATTTGGCCATTTTTCTTATTTGCACAGAATATGTATTTTAACTTAAACTTATACATATCCAAAGGACAATGTTGGCCAAGTTGCGGCTCATATCTAATTTTCAAAAAAATGTCCCCAAACTAGGGTCGAGATAGCTACTAAATTAACTGGTCACTGAGCAACAACGATTGATATTATAATCACCTTTCTCATGTGACCTTCTGCTGTTCGATACGCTAACGCTTTCATTGAAAATTTCTTTGTGTTTAAGTCTCTGTTGTGACATTATCTATCGTACTTCCAACTTCAAACTATGGGAGATTTTTGCGCAAATATTAATAGGGTTTGAAGATAATATGTCTCTTATTTAAATCTTTATGTTTTTCATTAGGGGTGTTTTGAAAGAATTCTGTTATTGACAGTGTCATTAGTAAGTA